GTTGCTGTTGCTGTTGCTGCTGCCGCACCACCATTCACTAGTCATGAATCTTTAGTGCCTGCACTGTCATGATTGCCATCATCACGACCATAAGTACTGTCGCTCGTGGTTGTTGTTGCCTTTGTTGGCAGCGTCACTTGTCACTTAGGGTGCATGTCACCAGCTTGCCAGGAACATTGTTCTCTTGGTAGCCATGAGTCGACCGTTGTATTCTAATTGCCATTTACCATTATGATTCCCGATTGTTGTCATCATCTGTTTTGGGGATCCTGAAGCATGATGGGCACATGCACGGTGAAGAAGAGCTCGGCAAAGACACCTCGCTCAAGGCAATTCTTTGGTGGCGAGTCGACGTCAGCAGCATCCTTCGATCCGGCAAAAGAGCTTGGTGTCCAAGATCCAGTGGGCTTCTGGGACCCACTCGGATTGAGTGCGGACAAGGATGAGGCTACCTTCAAGCGCCGTCGCGCTGTCGAGATCAAGCATGGCCGCATTGCGACGAGCCTGAACTTCCGCGCTCTGTTTATGTTGCCGAGACACGGTCTTTGGTGTGGGTGTGTGTGGGGAAAGCATCTAGGGTTTGGGCGTGGAGCGCAATAATTGACGACTACTGCTACGACTGCTACTGCGACCATTACTGCTGCTACCACTACTGCCACTACTATGGCGACTACTGCGACCACTGTTGCCGCGACGACGACGACGACGATGGCTGGCAAGGTTAGTAAGTGATAGCAACCTGCGTAAAGTGTAGGGAGCTCTTGAAACCTGAAAATCTGGACATGAGACATGCTGTCGTAACAGACTGCTGAAAAAAAGCAGAGGCATGCATCGTCGCATGCCATGATGGTTGGACACATGGAAACCGCCTGGAGGTCTGAAATAGAACTGCGCAAGTCCGTGTCTGTGCTATTCGCGAATTTATCCCGCTGGGTTGGGCAAACGCTTCGAAGCAGCATCCACCACAGTACGCGACTTTGCGCCAGAAAATTGAGGAGTCTGTACTGACGGTCGTGGTAATCTTGTCTGTGCACTGAATCACAGTAAGGCCTTCGCCAAGCAGTCTACAAGGCAACATGTTGTGTGTTGGCACGGCATTTGTACCGTAGTACAGGCTGCAAGTCTGCAAGGAATGGTTGGGGCAGTTTAAAGAAGGCAGGCACCGGCGTATTTTCGTGTTTGTTTCGCTGTTCTCTTATGTCTGGGGACATCGTTACATCTCAGCCGTTTCCACAAGGATGTTTCATGCTGAGAGGCGTTTTCGATGTCAGCAACATGCAAACGGACTCTTCTCAGTCTGCATGTTGAGCTGCGCACATTCGAGGCGATGTATGCTACGATGGGGTATATTGTGCCTGAATATTTCAAGTTCCCTGGTTATCTCTCGCCATCTTTGGGTTTGAAATTCAGCGACGTCCCAAATGGCCTGGCTGCGCTGTCGAAGCTCCCATCTCAGTTCGCCGTATTCGCTTGGGTACTAGTTGCAAAGATGCTTCTTGAACGCGCTGCGGCTTTTGTGAAGCAAGAACGGACTGCAACCTGTAAGGCTGCCAGTTCTTGGCGGTGCTCAAATCATTGCTTTCTGTGGGCTGATTGAGACTACTGGTTTCTTCCAAGCAGACTCCACCACTGGCGGACGAGGCCCGCGTGAGGGCAAGTTTTCCATGAAGGATTCGACAGAAAGTGGAGAACCCGGAAACTATGGCGTCGGTTTCCCTACCTTCATCGGGAAGGTAGAAGACCCAGAAGCTCGCAAATCCAAGCTTGCAGCAGAGCTTGCAAACGGAAGACTGGCAATGATGGCAATCATTGGCATGTTTTTCCAAGATGGACTGACTGGTTCCGCTTGGGGAGATTGGTCCCTCTACACCGCCTCCCCTCTGCGAGCTGCAGAAGAGGAAGCCGCCCCCCCACCGCCGCCTCCCTTCGACCCCCGCCTGGAAGTTGGGGTTCTGCCGCCCCTGGACTATTTCGCCGGGGACTCAAAAGTTCAAAATTCAGAGTGTTCCATGAGAGACTCTTCTTGGGCGGTGCCAAGGACCCTGCAGGTTTCTGCCCTACTGGCGATGAGGAGCCGCCGCCGTCTCTGGAAACATCCCTGCTTGTTTTAACTGCTGCTGATGCTGTCCCCCCCCTCCGGTTGTTGATGCTTTCGTTTGATGTTTGTCGTCCAGTGTCTTCCACTGTGGAGAAGCAGCAGCATGTGCTGGCATCTAGCTGGCAGGAGAATTTTAGAAAGCTCCGCGCTGCGGAGTTGAAGCATGGCCGCGTGGCAACTTGATTGCAAGTCTTGAATGAAGGGTGCCTTAACGCATGTATCCAACGTGTGAAATCGGAGACTGTCCTTATCACTGTTTTCGATCTTGATATGCTGCTGATATTTTGACAACATAGAAAGGAATATCGTTCATCGACACCTCCGTTTCTGCGCACACCACCAGGGAGTGTGGAGTGCTTGGAAGGTTCAGCTCCTAAGCTCGGCAAATTGCTAGGTTCGAGTTAAGCCTGCGCGGAATGGACCTTTCATACTCAGACTCAGACTCATCACATGTTCAGAAGGTGTCGTTCTTGTTTGGAACTCAATGGAAGCCCGAAATGCTTTGAAGTTTCAGCCTCTGCTTTCTGCAAAAGGCGATGATGGCCGCGCTGGGAGCTGCTGTTCAGGCTTCGATGTAACCCTCGTTGCCAGTGCGATGCTGTCTTGCATGACCGGACTGATACAAGCTTTCAGAAACTCAAAAACCTAGGGATAGTCGCACTGCTGACACTGTTCGGGCAATCGCGGCAACAACGACAGTTGCGCAGTGTGGTGGAAGGAGCCGCAGCATGAACAGTTGTAGCAAGCGCACCACGTTGCTTGGTGACAGCAATAGTTGCATAAGTCTGCATGATCAAAAATAGCGAGCTTCCACAGTCCAGTCTTAGCCGCCTTCGAGCATGTGTGCCTTGCAGCACTACGTGCAATTCCCCGGCTTTGACGAAGTTCCAACTGGCCTCGGAGCTGTTACCACGGCGTGCGTGTCTTAGAACGTCCAAAGAGGCCTTAGAGGATCTTGGATGCTTCACGGGGCTTCTGCAGAGCTTTCAATTGTGAGGCCTGGTACCTACGGCTTCGCCGCACTCTTCCTGCTCAGCGGAGCGCTCCCTGGCACAAGAAGCTCGCAGTTCTGGGACAGATGCTGACTGAGTCCGCTTCTTGTGGAGGCGGCTTTAGGCAACAGGGCATACATTGTCGTAGAAGCGTAGCGTCACGGAACAGAATCCTGGCTCAGGCTCGAGCTGGGACTGTGGACGGAGGCGCAACATGAAGTGGCGGAGGGCTTTTCTTCGTGGTTAGAAGTTGTAGAAGCAGTCGAACAGCCACTGCTAGTAGCTGCTAGCTTTGCTGCTCTGTGTGTGCCACATTCGGCTTTTTGTTTCTTGCTTGAAAACCCGCATATTCCAAGGACCCCAGCAAGGAGCCGGGCAACTTCGGCGACCCCTTGAACTTGGGTCAGTACGACATTGACATGAGGCCCTCCGCTGGGTCGGAGAAGTTGCATCGTTTGTATCGCCTGTATCGCAGACGTTTCTTTCGCCTGCAACTCGACTTGAGGAACAAGGAGCTGAACAACGGCAGATTTGTCACTTGTCTGTGAAGCGTCTGTGCCAGAGTCACACTAGCGATGCGCCGCGCCTGCGGCTGTCCTTGTGAGGCTATGTTCTCGGCCATCGGCATTCTCGTTGCCGAGCTCTACACTGGCAAGGACGTGCACGTTTTGGCCGGAAAGTTAGGTTCAAGTTCCAAAACACTGCAAGGATGGAATCGATCAAATTGGCCTCGACACACCCACCATTTGAGAGCAGTCTGAGAGCATAAGTGGAGCGTAGCCGGCCCTGCTACGCTTCCATGTCGGGCATGCATTTTCGGCGTATTGATTCAACGTAGGCAAGATGATTTTCAGGTTCTGTGTCACCGTGCAGGCAGGTGCACCAGGCATTCGCCACAAGTAACTGTACAGACATGCAAGTGGAAGTTACTCACTGCATGAGAAACTCGCGATTTTCTAGACTGAGCGGTGGACAGAGGAAAGTTGATCTGGGTTGCTGTTCTTGCTATTTCTTGCTCTGAAGAAATCTGAAACCTGAAGCACAATATGGGCCGAAATCTGGGTTTACAGATGGGTCTTATAGTGGCTGAGGCAGTTCTGATCGCAGTGCCGAGCCTCGTCGGATCCTGATGCTGGTGCCCAACTCAGCCGAACAACTGAGGGTGCATTCCCCATGTTTTTCCCATACGTGGTTTTCCCGGGGTTCCGCTGCTTGTGAATGGGACAACACCCCATCCCCGTGAGGATGCCTCATGCAGTCGGCTTCTTGTAGCTTTTGGTATCCAGGCTCGCATTGAAACATTTTGCGGTTTTCCATGTCCCGATGCCGCGTTTCAGACTCACTTCGCAGCTGGCACTGCTCACAATCTGGTGGAGATTCTGCCTTGCTGCAGAGAATCAGACGCAGTACTGCATCATCGGTGCTGGTCCTGCTGGCGTCCAGCTGGGCCATTTTCTCTTGCACGCCGGACGTGACTATGTGATATTCGAGAAGCAGGCCCGGGCTGGCAGCTTCTTTGAGCAATACCCCAGGCATCGCCAGTTGATCTCGCTGAACAAGCGAAAAGTTAGGGAAGGACGCAGCGCAGATTTTGCATTCCGTCACGACTGGAACTCCTTGATTGATGTCAGGGAATCAAAAGACCGGACTTCACCAGTTACAGAGAGGTCAAAGGAACTCTTCCCCCATGCATCAATTCTCGTTGAATATTTGCAAGAATTTGCAGAGGAGCAGAGGGGTCGTATTGAGTACAACACCAGTGTGCAGCAAGTGCGGCGCGGACAGCGTGGGGTCTTCGATCTCAAAGTTGCAACGCCGGAAGGCAGCTTTCAGTGGCGTTGTGCCAAAGTGATCATTGCGACAGGTTTGGGCAAGCCACGCTTGGGAAAACTTCGTGTAGACGGCGCTGCGCATGTTTTGGGCTATGAGGATCTCCCAAGCTCCGGGGAGTCCTTCGAGGGTCAAGCTGTAATCATCCTTGGACAAGGGAATGCCGCCCTGGAGACAGCCCAGGAGCTTCAGCGCTACACCTCAGAGGTCCACGTCTTTTCTCGCGCTCGAGCATTGCCCGGCGGGGGGAAAGGGGTCCGCTTCGCATACCAGACGCACTATGTCGGAGATATCCGGGCAGGCAGAACGACGATTCTTGACACCTACCTCTTGAAGAGCCTGGATACCTTCGACTTCGACGCCTTTGAAGCCTCCCAACGCCTTGCCGTCGTGCCATGTGAGAACAAGCTGTGCGTGTGGGCAGTAAGCAAAGAGGAATGCAACAGTGACCGCTGCAGACAGCTGCACGATGTTGGTGGCCAGAATCTTTCCTACATGGTAGAAATTGCAACTGTCCAGAACCAATCCGCTCTGCACATGCAGCTCAAAAGCATCCTGAACAAATATCCCGACATTGAAAAGAAGACACGCTGGAAGTATGAAGAGCTTGACTTCTTCTCCGAGGATAACGAGTTCCTTTCCATGGACAAGCTAAATATGTTGGGCATCGATCCGCAAGTGTTCAAGATGGGCACGTGGAACCTCCAAGTCTCCACCAGTGTCCTGAGGGCAAATCCGCAGCTTGCAGCAGAACTGGCTCAGGTGTCTCGGCTGCACCCTTGGTGTTCCTAAACAATCCGCAAAGCTGTCTCCGTGCCTCCCAGGTGCGCCAGGTTGGGAGCCATGACAACTTGCGGTATCCCATGGACCACATCATCCGCTGCTTCGGATGGACCTTTGATACAGACATCTTGGACGAGTCTGTGAAGGTCGAGCTTACGCATAATCGCAAGTATCCCAAGATCACGGCGGCTTGGGAAGTTCTGGGTGTTCCCGGCATGTACGCTGCAGGAACCTTGAGCCACAGCCTTGACTTTCGCAAGTCGGCCGGGGGCTTCATCCACGGCTTTCGCTACACCTCCCGCGCTCTCTTTCGTCTCCTGGAGGAGAAGAACTTCAACGCTCCGTGGCCCCAGATTTCATGGCAGGTGCCGCTCACGCTGACATGCGGTGCGACTGTGTCAACTGGGTGTGACGGTGATGGCTCGGATTTGGGACTTGAGCCGCTGCTAGAGATGCTGCTGTCAAGAATAAACAGCGCTTCGGGCCCTTACCAGATGTTCGAGTTCCTCGGAGATATGGTTCTTTTCGAGATGCACCCTGCCCACCTGGAGCTGCGATACTTGGAGGAGGTGCCTTTGCAACACTTCCATGCACGATACAGGAGCATGTCGCGGCTGACGTGGGTTTTCCGGTACAGCGACTCTTTCCACGGCCAGAAAGTGCTGGGCGACGCACGGGTGGGAGCGACACGCGCGCAGGACGCACACCGGTCGAACTTCCTTCATCCGATGTTGGCGTTCTTTCCGCCGGGGGCAGTTAATGCGACTATGCGGCACTGGCTTGTCGAGGATATTTTCACTCAGTGGGGTGCACCAGATGACCGGGTGCCCGTGTCCAAGTTTCTAAACCGAGTCGTGGCCAGTGTCATCAACTTGACATCGAGCCTTTAGCGCGTTTGTGGATCAAACGAGTCAGTGAATGCGGGGGCTGATGCTAACTTTACAACTCCACGAATATTGCAATGTTGAAGCCTCGCTGCCTTCGATTTCGAGACTTCCTAGATCGGGGTTTGGCTTTGGACGGGTCTACTAGACGGATTTGCAACGTCGTAACGGCTAACTACGACATGTTCACAATGCATGGCCGCAGTTCTGATCCCCGTCCCCTGACGACATGGGCCACGCATGGACGCACTCAAATGTCCAACATAGTATTCGGCAGCAGTGGCAGCAACACGGTTTGAAATTGGGGCAATCTGGCGAATGTGGCTCCCCGTCCCGCAGATTCCGGTTGGTTTCCTTTCCACCATGCCGCTTCCTTCCGTCCGGGGTCTGTGGCTTCGGATACATGACACTAGGCACAAGATTTAGAATCGGCCCCGCAAGGTTCTTGCAAGTCGTGCTTCTCTGTCGTTTGTCTACATCGAAGATTGCCCCACGTTGAGAAGCGTCTAGGCTCAGCACGGGCAGACGGAGCTTTGTCTAGACTGGAGTGGGTTTTGGGGCACTTTGCATTGTCTGCATCATGGGAAAGTAGCAACGCATGGGCATCGACGAGACATCATCCAGCACGCTCGAAGCTCCTTAACTCCCTGAACTCTAAGGAAATCATGCAAAACCCTAACCTGAAACCCCGAAACCGGAATTCCCAAACCGCAAACGACACTCCTTCAGTCCATGTATTTGAGGCCTTTGCTGCTGGTCACCGCGCTCGGTGCCGGCTCGAGTGTAGCCTCACAAGGCACTAAGCCTAACTTTTGGGTCAGCGGGGTAGGAGTTTAGGATTTGGGGTTTCGAGTTCGGCCTTCGACATCACATCCCTTAGTTATCCGTTTACATATTCATATCATCATATACCGTGTCAAAAGACGCTAAGGGTTCATAATCTAGTTTTACAGTGCTCACAGGGGTTTAGGAATCATCAGTAATAATTCTAAAGCCCTGTTATGCATCGTACTAATTCTATACGACACCCGAAACCATACGCCGATCATCAAGACAGGAGCGGGTGTTGTCTTGTGATTGTATATGTCTGCGTCGTTATGCTTGCACCTCATGCCCGCACATGTGCAGCCATGATTGCGACTGCAGTAATTATCTGTAATCAGCATTGTAATCGCAAGAACTACTATGTGCCGGCGGCAGTGTTCAGGCAAGAGGGAAGCGTCTCATCACTTCTCTTTTGGTGCGAACATCGCTTGCACCTCAGCTTCCCACAGCTGCTTCGAATACATGCCTTCTAGAAGCTGTTTTAAGCGCGCTTGCTGCTCCATATCATACAAGCAGATCCTAGGTGATCTTCGTATCGGTCCTCTGGCGCATCGCCGCAGAGAGACCGGAGTCTGGGCGCCCGTGCTTTCAGAGGCATCGGTTGCCTTTATAACAAACAAACAAATGATGAACTAAGTAAAATAAATAAACACACACACATATATATATATATACATACATACATACACACATGGATACTGTATGATAGTATGAGACACTTTGAAATCATATTAGTAGAGGCCATTGTCAGTCCACTTTTTTACACTACCACTGTTACCTGTGCAGATGGGGGCCCTTCATCCTCACCCTCTTGGGCTGCTGCCTGGTGATGCGACGAGCTCTGGGGCCCCCAACAGGCTCCTGAAAGGGAGAGCCGATTATCTGCGATCTGCTAGGTGGGATTTCATCCGACACATCCTGCTGGACCACGGCGGAGTCTGACTCTCTGCGTGATTGCAATCACATTATACTATACTGTAGGGTATTATGTATACTCTAGAGTTGACGTAATACAACATAAAAAATGAACCGATATAATACAATAAAAAACAAAAGAAATTTTCAAAAATAAGTAGATAAACCAACAAATAAAGAAATACAGGTATCTGTATATATATATATATATATGTATACACTATACTATGGTAGAATATACTTTGAAATCATACTAGTATAATAATATAAGATGAGCACTAGCGCAGTCGCCGACTCTTTTCATTTTCAAGGTCGTCTTCCCAGAAGAGGCGCTGGCAATGCGCCTGCCTTATGACGCGAGGAATCGCGAGGATGCAAGCGGTGTTTCGGGTTCAGGGGTTTAGGGTTTAGGGTTTAGGATGATGCCGGTAGAGACTACCGTTAAGAGGATGGCAGCTAGCACGGTTTTTGTTCTTGAGGTATCGCGACGATGGCGGATTGACCACCATGGGCCGCGCCAGCCAATTTACGACCATCACAGGGCAGCGCGCCCAGGAAAGCTCGTGAAAGCTCCAGCTTGAGTCAGTCCTCGGAGTGCAGACCGTTTCCCTAAGGTTCGTGATCTTCCTCACAGGCCAGGCATATCTTCCAGCCGGGTTCTAGCCTCAAAAGACGAGTTCCTGTCAAGCAGGGGTGATCTGGTTTATTGCTGTTCGGGCCTTAACTCGGTGAGCAATTCGGGTCGCTATTGTGGCAGGGCCATGTGTGCCATTCTCAGGCACCAAAGAAGCGCGCGACACTTAGAGACCTGTCGGGTTTCTTGCTTTTTGTTCGAGGGCGTTCGTGGCTGTGATCGTTTGTGCTTCCTGCGTTTGCCATGCTTGTGCTGGCGAGGCCGGCAGCAGCAACAGCTATAGATCAAGTCTTGGCTGCCAGTCTCACAGAGTTCGAGCTAAAAAAACTCTCTTCAAGCTCCCTTCCGATGAGCCTTGTGCCATCGATGCTTTGCGAGTTCGGGCCTGTTCCTGCCACATGTGCGAGTGATTTGTGTGCAAGGACTGCTCTTCTGGAGCAGCAGCTTGTATCACAGTGAATAGCACATTGAAGCTGGATCAGCTGTGACCTTGCACCGGAAAAGCACAACGTCGGCCTCTAGATCCCGCTCAACGTGTCAGTTTTGGGTGGACAATTCTCTGTATGGCCCAAGCCTGTTTTGTAAGGTTCGACCGTCTGACCAGACCCGACTGCCAGCGAGTTTTCCCATGCGCATGTATGCATACCCTTGTGCTACGCAGCTGTTTTTTCTCATAGCTAGTTTTTTGCTGGTTGTCTTGAAGATGTCACTGCGGCCGCAATGCATGCAAGGCACAAAAGTGAAGTCAGACCATCTGGCCATGAAAGTTTCATAATCATCACAGTTGGTACTCATTCGTGACACAGATTCTGCATTGGGGTGTAAGTGCCGTGGCACGATGCCCAGCCCGACCATCCCTCGTGCTTCCTATCGCTTCCAGTTGAAGCCGCCGAAATGCCGAGAAGCTCCGGAGCCACCTCAGAAGCCCTTGACATGGAGGGCGCTTTCGACGCAGGCCCAGGCCTCCAAAGATGCTTCGTGGTGTGCGACAGCTTCGGATATTGCAGAGAAGCATGTGAAGTCTGCGTTTGGGGGCTTGAAAGAAGCACTCCGTGGGTTTCGTGCTGAGAAGATGGAAAAACCTCAGAGGTCGATGCCAGTCATTTTGGCATTGGCCGGAACATCGGCGAATGACCACCACGCGACGATGTGCCGAGCAAGGGAGCTTCTTCATCAGGAAGTGCCCAAAGTCTGCACAGCTCTCGTGAGGCCAAGGGACTTCGCCAGCCTGAATGCGGCAAACCGAGCAATCGGCGAACAGCTGCAAGGAGGAGACTCTTCAAGCCAGCTTCAAGAAGCAGAAGCCGATGACGAAGATGAGTGTACCGCAGCATCGAGCTTCGTTAGCTGCCACAGCAATTCCAGATGTATGACCGTCCTATGCATCGAAGCAGCGGACGCCGTGCCGAAGCAGATACTGAAAGATGTTCTAGCATACTGGCATGAGAACTGCATGGCTGCTGAAATTCCTATAGTGGCATTCCTCGGGCAGGGGTCTCAGTCTTTTTTCCCCTGCTTCGGTGCAGGTTCAAACAGGTCGGAGAGGCTTCAGTTTATGTTCGGCATCTCGCTTTGCCTGGAAGAGACACGAATGCCACCTGAGGTTGAAGCGTCTGAAGGCAAGTCGAACTGAACTGTTTGACTTGGGCAGTGCGACTTAGCTAAACCGAAAGCGGGATCCCGCTGTGCTTTTACCTTCATGCACTGTCCAAGGAGCCAGGTGTATTCCACCACATTCAGACAGTGTCTGGCGCTCGAACCAGTAAGTAGAGCAGTCGATCTCCTCACGCATGAAACGCGATGCAGTGGTGAGCTTTCCGCACAGGTGCCTTTTCGATCCCGAAAAGGTGTTCCACGAGCTGTTGGGCAGAATGAAGGAGGCCTCATTCACAGAAGTGAGACAGGGTGCCTAGAGTTTGGGGAGCGGTGGCTCAATTGAGGTGCGCTGTCCACTTGCGCGAACACCGGCCGTGCAGAAGTCATTAAGGCAGGGGTGTGACGTCAGTGGTAGCGCTCATGAACTTGGTGATGCTGTCAGGCACATCTTCCAGCAGTTTCAGCAGAGCGTCTCGCATGTCCTGGACATGGTTTGCCTGCTAGCTGCTGGAGGCTCAGAATGCTCCGTGGGAGCGAGATGTGGGCTCTCTTGCCGTCAGCTGGGTCCACGTCTGCCTCGCTGGAGCAAGCGCGCATGACTTGGAAACTGCCCAGGCGAAGGACTTCAACTGCAGCCAGGCAAGTGGGATTGGAAGACGCGCGGTGATACCATTGCCGCCATTGCCGTAGTTGTCATTGCGGCCATCAGCGCCGTTAAGGGCTCCTTACACGGTGAAGCCGCAAGAGCCAGGAATCCCTGACGGATGCCGAGCGGCATCTAGTGAGGAAAACCGAGGCAGGCATCAGTGATGGGGTTTGGGAGTGCCCCGGCGAAGTTACTCGCACATGGAGTCATCTTCACCTGTCTCTGCCGACACCACAGGGCAGCCTGCGCATGCTTGCAGCGGAAGAGCCGCACGAGGGAGCTGCTAAGGATGCCCAGTACTCGGTGGGCTGTTTGCTCACGCTGGATGCTGCTTAAGCCATTGTGACCACTAGGCAGGCAGCCCCTTGCGGGACACTGCTCGCATCTACCAGTGCCTGGCCTGTGCATTCGACGTGAGTCAAAGCAATGGCTTTGCGCACCTGTGCTGCCAACTTAGGTACCTGGAATGTTCTGTCGGCCGGCAGGTTAAGGCATGTCACAGCACTTCCTGTCTGTAGGGTAGGGTTCGCATGGGTATGGGTCAGCTTTGTCGGAGCCAGGTCGCAGATCTTTGGGCCTCGTGTCAGAAAACGATGTTTGCATCAGTGGCTGATGAAGCGTGCGTCTCAATCGCGGGTGTGGTACAAGAAGGGTAGCGTGCACCTCTCACACACACACACACACGTTGCTCTCAGCATCACGACTTGTCGTTGGTGCCTCGTGTGTACCAAAAGTTTCGCGACCAAGGTCGCTTTGCCCAGATTTCGGCAGGCCGTAGCAACTCTTCACTTGATGGGGTCTGAACCTCAGGAAGGTGGGGTTTTCCGACATTCGCAGGCAACAGATCCGGCTTTGCACAGTCCTCCTCGACCCTGTCGTGTAGACTGCAGACAGCTTCAGTGGTACGACTTGACAGGGGACAAAGATGGACAAAGCCCGCCCGCTCTAAGGATTGTCTTTTTCGTACGCGGCAACGCGCAGAAGCCCGTTGCTTATTGCCAGCTGCCAGCATGTTTCTGCGCCGCAGTGTTCCACCGGTCGTGCTGCTGGCCAGAGCTCAGGGGCGTGAGCGGATGGCACCTCAAAAGACGCGTATTTGGACGCGTGCGCCGAGTAGCGGGCACTGATCCACCCACGGGACTATAGCCTTCAGAAATCTCTTGTCCACCGCTATGTCTGCCTGTATCTAGTATCTGCACGAATTGGAAAGGGATATCAATGTGTGTTTCGCAACGTGTTAAGGATGTGGTGCGATACATGCAGGTTCACTCTGGAGATCTCTGGAGCAAATTCAGTAGAGACACGACCTCGGGTGCGCACGGAGCCGGTTGAGAGTCTCAACTCTAAACATGCTTTAGACTCTAGTGCCACATCTGTGTGAGCATGCAGCACTGTCATCAGAAAAGCACGCAGAGAAGCCACCGCTAGGACACCGGAGCAGAAGAGCCGGCAGACCAGCCTTTGCTTTGAGATTGGTAGATGCACGATTCAACGCTAAACGGTTTAGAGGCAGGCGTCGGACACCTTTCTACCAAGCCACGCCAGCCAAGCCAAGTTCCGCAAAACCGCTCGAAGCACTCACAATGTATTTATTTTTGCCTTTTCAGGTGTGCCATGTTGTGCCTGCAGTGTGTTGATACCGTGAGAAGTGATCTTGACGTGCAAGCACTATCAGTGTGACATTACGTCCCTCGTGCAAGAGCATGGCAGTTTGAGCCATCAAGCCTGGTCAGTAGGTCTCACACCTGCGGGAAGCGAGTTTTTGGCAGGTATGGTGGTACAAGGAGATGTCCAATTTCGTGAAGGTCAGCCGTTTTCAGCTCAGCTTTGTTTATTACACGCTTGGTGCACCTTTCGGCAGGCAGGTCGCTCGAAGATCTCGGGGTGCGATGTGGAGGCAGTCGCTCTCAGCTTGTTCGCTTGCCGGTGCGCGGGCGGGCTGCTGAGGCTTCGCCATGCAGAAGTCTGTCGAGGCAGCGTGACATGCTGCCTTGAGATCATGACACCTTGTGCATGTGGCAGGTCTGTTGCATACTCCCTGTGTGACTGAGGTCAGAGTCGATGTCGAGTTCGATGTCAACGGAGAAGTCACCTGTGCTTTGTGCTTAAGCCACAGGATTGCATGTCCCAGTCCTGAGCTGGCTGCGAACGGAGGTCGGAGCGGTTCGCAACTCCGGCGAAGGTGCCCGTGCGATGTCCTCACTCGTCTCGTCTCCACACGTTCGCAGATCCCCCGTGGCGAAGCTCAGGTCCCTGGAGCCTGGCCCTGGAGCCCTGCTGAAGAGGCCGGGACTGTTGAAAGCTGACGAGGATCTGAAGAGGCATTGAAGGAAACCCAAGATGAACTCAGGCTACCCTTTCCGCGAGTGTTTGACGTGGAAGAGGGGACGCCCGCTGCTGAGATGCTTCTGTACGAGCCGTTTGCTCGGATGTGCACAATTGGTGTCCAGGTTCACCACTCCCCAGAAGAAGCGGGCCCGACTGCAAAGAATCATCCATGGGCCGATCGATGTAAACTGATATAGGGGGATGGGCAGTTGAGATGAGACTGCTCGGGTAGCATTGCATCCTGCCGTCTGCGCGAAGGCAGGCTTGGCAATGCAGTTGGGTGTGTGGGGTGTGGGCAAATCAGACTATTGCTGATTGACAAAATGGCTCTGTTTCGAAGTGGTGCTGCGAACGGACATGTAGTCACCGCAATCCCACGATTCGAATGTTTTCCCGTCATCGCTGTGTGCGGGCTCAAGGGTGCCTTTGTGGGGGCACAAAGGCCGCAAAGTAAGTGCAACAGTTTATCTCAGGTAGGCGCGCTACCTGTGTCTCGTCAGCAAGATCCGGCGCAAAAATAGGTTCAATTGGAATTCAAACTGTAGGCTGGTTGGGAAGGGTCTGTGATATCTGACATGTTCTTGTTGCATCTCTCCAGTGTCTTTGTTTGTCTTGAGACATCTCGAGGACAATGCCGCCCGAAGGTGGTGGCGCCGAGGAAACATCCGAAATAGATGGATCCACCCCGGCTTCAACTCCGGCGCCCTCGCCTCCTGCGTCATCCCCTGTAGATGAGGAGTGCAGAATCAAAACATCATCCATTGTGACAGTTCAGACACATCAAGCTGGAGTCAAAACATGCTGTGGCCTGGCTGAAGGACAGGGACACCAGACAGACGCCACACAGCTTCTCGACTGCAGAGATTTGCTTACGTTGATCAATGGGTCACGAAACGAGGCGAGGGCAAAGACACGCCGAAGCAGAAGCTAGACAAGGGCCAGAAGACCTTCAAGGAGACTAAGGGCACCAAGGCAGCCACAGACGGCCCCTGTGATGTCTCTCTTGCAAATGGTCATACTGGGCTTGGATCTGCTTGCCTGTCAGTCGCAAGTCTTCCAGACGGCAGCGGGCCAGGAAGGACAGCAAGCAGAGGAGCGGGGGATAGTGGGGGGGAATTTCGGTGGGGCCTGGCAGGGACTGCGCTCTGCTCGAGGAAGTGATGCTGGCCGAAGCAGAGGAGGATCACGAGGCCAAGACCAGCACCAAGAAGAAGAAGAAATCCGACCAAGCCAAGGCGCAGCGGCCAAAGGGTGAAATTGGTTCGGCTTCGGGGTTTCGGTTTCGCTGCACTCTCTGCAGGGAGCCGACGATGATAAGAAAGGCAAGAGTGAGAAGAAGCTCGAGAAGAAAAAGCAAGGAGACAAGGACTGGAGAGACACGAGTCATCGCGAGTCCGTGGGTCTCCTCCAGCATGTGCTATTTCTCATGTGCTCGTACCCATCCCTGCGAAGTCAGCAGCAACCTGAAACAGGGAAAGGATGATCAAAAACCAAAGGGAGAAGTTAAGGCCAGGCATATACATGTTGTGGATGTACTGTGCGGGTGCAAATGCTTTGCCCAGGGAAAGACACCGACGAAGATGGGTGCAGGAGGAGGAGAGACAGAAGGGGAAGAGTCAGTGCATGATGGCGGGAAATCTGCAGCAAAGCCGGCGCGCGGCCGCAAGCGTGGCCGCAACAGATCCGCCCCCAAAGACAAGAACAAGAAGGTTGAAGGCAAGCAGGCCAGATGTTTGGCAACCGACCCGTGACCTGCAACAGCCAGTAGTCGAACCACAAGTGGTCTCTCAGGGCAAGACGACCGCGAAACGCGCTGGATGCATCTTTCCTGTTGCTCGCATCCACCGGTTCCTCAAGTCGTTCGATCCTCGGCCACGTCGCCACCACCAGGGTGGACGTAAATGATTGTTTTTCAGTTACAGGGCTGCTGGGAACGGAAGGTACATGGCAGCAAGGTGTCGAGTCGGCGGTTCTGCGGGCATCTTCACGGCTGCTGTCATGGAGTACTTGGCAGCAGAGGCGCATGGCAACGCCAAGCTTGCATCTCCCACTGTCTGGCGACGACGCTTCTGCGCGGTGCGCGTGTCAGGTTCTGGAGTTGGCTGGCAACGTGTGTGCGGACCAGCTTTGTGAAAGAGTGGTTTCATGGCCAGCCTTGGCTTACGGGTGTTGCACGAAGCGTTCTGCCAAGCGGTCGATTCTTGCAGGACTACCATCTCAAGCGCATTACGCCGCGGCACTTGCAAATCGCAATTCGTGGTGATGAGGAGCTTGCGGGCTTTGTCAAGGCCAGCAAAGGAGGGCCAGGGATGTTGGATGATTTTCCTGTGTACATGCCTCATGCCCATATGCTGGATGCATTGTGCTGGCAGCGCCATGTTAGATGCAGGCTTTGGCCGTACTTTAATCGTTGCAGATGCAAGTTGGCTGTGAGGCAACAATTGCTGGAGGTGGTGTCATCCCGAACATCAATCAGTCCTTGTTCCCCGACGTTCGACTGCGCGAGGATGAGACCTACAAGGCAATGCAAGCACAATCTCACCAGTGCATGAGGAAGCGCTTAAGGGCATTCGCACCTACAACTTCTACAACGGCCTGTAGGTGGTTGGTCGTTTGTTAGGTTACCCGGCGCAGTTGCTCCCAGGGCCCACGCAGTTCCTCACGCTTGCGAGGCGAGCAAGTCCACTCGACGACAGCTTCGCATGGATCCTGGTGCCGAAATGACTCCACGTGCGCAGCTCGGGGCGGTCATGTACGGGCACACACTGTGACGCTACCCGTTTTGTAGCGATGTTCCGTGACAGGTACGGACCGCGCCCGCTCGGACAGAGACATGCACATGCCAAGCTCGACGCAGCCCACTCCCCAGACGGAGGAGGATGACGACAAGCCGAGCGTCAAAGGCAAAGACGACCCCAAAGATCCGGCGAAGTTGAGAGCGAAGAAAGATCTAAAGAACAAGAACTTGAAGAAGGGTGAAGGAGCCAAGAATCAAAAGAAGAATCTGAAGCCTGGGGAGAAGGACAAGGGCCAGTCACCTGGGCCCAAGAAATGAAAAGAGAATTCCAATTCCGACTGTACATTAACTTGCGTGGAAAAAATCGCCACGAAGCCGGGAGCGAGGGTCTCGGGCATGCTTGGCCAAACAGTTGCAGGAAGGAAGCTAGCATTTGGTGTGTGTGTGTGTCTGTTGCAGCCTTCCGGCTCACATTGACATCAACCGGTATAACAGAAGTAACAGAACGATATCTGTGAGCCCTGCGCGGTTCTCTGCAACTCCTATACTCAAGTCCCCGCGCCACTCGCCCCAGTGCAGGATCATCCTACAAGCCTAAGCCTTAAGCCACTTAATGTTCTGTGATCGTGATGCTTGCTGGACCCGATGCCATAGACGGCCCTGTTGAGTAACGTGGATGCGGGAGGACCAGGACGGCGCATGCAATGCTACTACATGTTCAAGTTTCATTATATATGCTGTTATATAACATGGAATATTGCCTAAAGTACAATGAATATAGTTGTAATGAATGCCCGAGGTTACTTCTGTGACCATGCGAAGTGCAGGAGCATGGCAGCGAAGAGCGAGAAATTCCAATCCCTCCGGATGGAGCTCGCGAGGCTTCACGTTCTCCCTTGCAGGCTGTGAGTGAACGCGTGCACGATGGAGCCCTGCTCCAGGCATGGGCGAGCCATTTCCCGGCAAACACGGTCATTACTTCGAAGTATACGGTTTTGAATTTTGCAAGGGACCGAGACAGCACCAAGTGTCGCCAGTCTGCACCCGAAGGTGTAGAGTGCAACTGATTTCGCTGAGCATCTGCTCAGGTTCCCAAAAATCTATGGGAGCAGCTTCACAAAGCTGCGAATCGATACTTCCTGTTCATCTCTGTTGTGATGTTCATCGGCATCTTGTCCAGTTTCAATGCGGTTGGGGCTGCAAGGTGGCGATGTCTGAGGCTGCGCAGTGTCCAATCGTACTGAGGTAACTACACTCCTTTGTTCTACGGCTTCATAAAGTTTTACTCCACGTTCGCAGCCTTGCTCATTATGATGACAGCATCAGCCGTTATCGCCGTCATCGATGACAAGCGCCGGCATGAGGCTGATGTCATTACCAACAGTCAAATAGCGCACCGGATCAAGGCCGACGGAACGGGAGGCAAGGGGCTCGTCTCCGAGGATGTGATTTGGGCAGATGTTCGTGTCGGTGATGTCTTAGTTGTGGCTGGAGAGGAGGAGTTTCCGGCCGATTTGGTGCCGCTTGCATCATCCAGTGAGGGTGGGTGCTATGTGTCCACAGCGAATCTCGATGGCGAAACAAACTTGAAGCTCAAAGAACCAGCTTCATCTACACAAAGGGCTCTGGTTGGAGGCGCGGGCGACGCGCGGCCCTTGCTGGACCAAGCCGTTGAGAGGCTCCACTCCCTGGGTGAGAGTCTTCTTGTGGCGGAGGCGCCGCAGAAATCGATTCACACCTTCAAGGGCTTCCTTCGGACTGGCGCTGAAGTGGAAGAGCCCTTGAACTCCAAAAACTTTCTTCTCCGTGGCACGGTCTTGAAAAACACGTCCTGGGTTTTGGGAGTGGTTGTCTACACGGGACCGGAGACACGGATGGTGATGAATTCTAGGAAGGCGAAGGCCAAGTATGCCAACATCGAGCAGGTGATCAACCGATCCATGCTGGTCGTTGTGGGTGCACAATGCTTGATGGCGCTCATCAACGATATCGTGTACCTCATGACCAAAGAGCAGTTCATGAGCTACTGGTATTTGTTTCCCACCGGACCATCGCAGAAGATCATCCTGCCAGAGAGTATCGGTTACTGGCTCACATTTTTCGTGTCAGTCCCTCAGGTAATTGAGCCTGGCAGTGGTCGGGGTCGCGTCTGTGGAGATATCCAGGCTTTACTCGAATTTGATGCCCATATCCCTCTATTTCACTATGGAGGCCGGCTCCATTGGCCTAGGCAGTCTCTCACAGCTCCTCACCCCACAGCATCCTACTGCAAGAGTTATCTGCCAGGTGTGCAATACTGCGCAGGCCGGCCTGAATTCCTTTGTAGCAGGCTTCCAAGAAGTTCTGCTGCTGTGATCTTCAAGTCGTATACATGCTTGGAGGCTTACTTCATCAAGAACGACATTGAGATGTATGATGAGGTGCCGCAGGGTGGGGAAGGGGCTACTGCGCACAGCTCGCTGATTGGAAGATCCGAATCGGATGCACCGTGCTACCCCTAGAAGAGCCTTGTGACATTCAGCCCTTTGTGGAATCTGTTGCCGATGAGTGTCAGGGCCAAGACTGTCCCGCGAATGCGCGAACGACGTGCCTCAAATGCAAGCATGCAAGCAGCTTCTTGTGAGTATCGGAGTACTGTATGCCAGGGCTTCATGCTGTGAGTTGCTCTGCCAAACGAGGAATCTTTGCCATGAGCTTGGACAAGTTTCGTACATCTTCTCAGACAAGACAGGAACGTGCATCCTGCCAGTTTGGAGAATTGAGTGACACTTGCGACGACTGCGTGTAGAGGGCGTGCACGAAAGTATAGTTCAAAATTGTCTTAATCTGGAGATCCGATCTGTAGACATGCCCCCCGTTCCGTTTCTGCTTGGTATCTAGGGCCAGTTATGCTTTAAATATTTCTTCGAGACTTATTCCTGTTCTCCCCGAGATCAATCGAAGATACCTCCAGGTGGTGCTAGGCTCAAAATTGCCACTGACAACTCCGCGGGTTTATGAACTTACCGTATCAAGGACACGAGCCCGGCAATTACATACATGCTTGCGAGGATGGACTAACATTTATTGATGTGTATGTGTGCGCCTTTGTGCCAGACTGACGCAGAACATCATGGAGCTTAAGCGCCTATCCATTGGAGGCCTGGTAAGAGTGCATTTCTGGAGTTCCCGTCGCAGATTCTCAAAGGAGCTGAAGGAGGCAAAGCTTCATAGTACCCATATCGTAGAATGTAGGGTTTCTATATTAGGAGTTACTATTGTGGTTCGAGTTCCAGGATCCCTTAGATGATTAAACACTTGCAATAGGTTCAGGCTGGCTGGCGATAAGGCGATCAATCAAGCCTTTCAGCACAAGCCGGCACGTAAAGCTGCCCATGGTAAACCAACGCTGCCGTTGTGGTTGTAGTCCGTTGCATTTCATTCCGCGGGGTGGCTATTTTCTGATCCATGTACTCTGGGAGGCAGCGTGTACGGCGAAGTTGGAGAGGCCGGCTGATGTGATGAGTTACCTTGCCCCACGTCGCTTCTAGCTTGGCAGGAGTACGGCTTTCAGGGCCGAGCCGAAATGATGATGGCGAGGTCGTTGACTTTGTCAATTTGTTGTTCTTTCAGTCTGGCTTCTGTTTGAGAGGTACGAGGACTCAAGGAAGAATGCTGGCATTGATGCCGCGCTTGAGGCAGATTAAGGACACGTCGCGAGCCTGCCACATCGTTACTACATCCTCGAACTTTACCGAAGGTGTTGGCGGTGTCGCATACAGTGGTGTCCACTCGCGATCGAGCAGGCAACCTCAAATACGAGGCTTGGATCGGAATGCCAAGACAAAAGTTTGCAAGTCTTCTTTCGTTCTTCCGCTCGCAGGCCGAAAGCCCTGATGAGGGAGCTTTGGTGGAGGCAACGTCAACCCGGCATCAAAAGCTTGTCTTGTGGATCCGTGAGAGAAGCGCAGGCAGTGCGAGGTTTGGGCTGGAGTTTCATTGGCCGAACAAACGAGGAATTGACGGTGGAGGCCGACCCTTCCCTGTTCACAGGGTGTCTTCACACATGCACGTTTGTTCGTTGCTACCAGGTGGATGCTGAAGGGTACAAGACTCCCCGGGTGTATCAGGTTCTGGCAGCTTTTCTGCACGCAGACCCTACACCCTGTATGCCAAACCCCCGCACATAAGTAAATAGGTAAGTTGTAGATCTATTATAAAAAAGTGTCAAAACTATAAGTAATGAGCAAATACTTATAATCATAAGTACACAAACCAAGATAGAGACATGTGTGTGTATATATATACACATTCATATATAACACATTCATATGGCGTGTATTTTCAAAAGAAGTAAAATGAATAAACACATACATATATATATATATACACATGCTTATATATATATATATACACACACACACCCGGAACCTTCAACCCCATAAACTCTAAACCTCTAGCAGCGTCCCTGGGAGTCCTTTGCCTTTCCTCCCTGGTACTCAGGCGCTGAATGCCTTTACCTCAGCCAGGCCTGGGAGCTGTTAACAAAAGTATATCTGTGATATGTACCTTTCTTGGATGAGACAATGTCGAATAATCGTGTTAGGTATGCAGTAGAGCAGATATGGTATGATACGCGATGGTGCCATAGGATCACAATGTCATGAAGTCTAACCTTCAACATTATGCAGTACAATACAATAAAGTACAGTGGGCACACGAGTAGAATATGTAAACATACACTATCTGCTCATAGACAAGAATCAGATCCTTACGAACTCCTGCTGCTCGGCGCAGCAGGAAGCGCCAATCCGTCGTCGTGCGACGACCATCTGGGGAGGAAGCGCCTTTCGTAAGAACCGAACTTCACCTCCTTGCCGTCTTGTGTGATGTCCTTTCCTGATACAGGCACTCCTCCTCGTCAAGGGTGCCGATGACATCATGCAGGAGCCTTTGATATTTTCACGCGAGGGCTCGAGCAGGTTCACACTGCCCGCAGGTTTGGCAGATCTTCGTGAGTTGCACTGCAACGTTATTCAGTAGGAAAGGCAAAGTCGTTCACCTCCGATTTGCAAAGGGTGATCGGCCTGGGAATTTGAGTGCCTTGGGGGCCTCATTCCCTTGGTGCCGCGTCATATCTCTTGCAGTGCAAGGCAACAGCTCGCCAAAGATCCAAGGTCCTTTCCCGAGGACCTCCGAGATGTCTGCGCATGTCGCACCTTGCGGTAGCCAGCCGCCGGTGTTAGTTGCACGTGGTTGTTCAAAGGAAGCCAATCATGCAGCCTGCACTCGTGGTGCTCGCATGCGCTCGGAGGAGCATCTGCAAATGTTCGCGAAGCAGGGCCTCCGCACGCTGGTGCTCGGGAGGCGCGGCCTTGCAGGCGGCAGGTCGGACCTGTGATGACGAGCTGCGCATCTGTCGAGGCGGTTCCTCGCAGATCAGGAACTCCAATCCTGGCAAGCCGACTACGCCAAAGCCCAGTCCTCCATGGAGGACTCGGCGGAATTCCAGGGAACTGGGAAGCTCCTGGGTTCCTCTTCGTGAGGACAGAGAGGCAGCGCTTGCGGAAGTTGCTGCTCGGATGGAGAGGCCGCCTTTCTGACTGCCGCATGTTCTCAAGTCATTCAAGTCACTAGTCCTTGTCCGAAGCACTGGCAGTTCGCTGGAGATCGTCGGCGTCACAGCCATAGAGGACAAATTGCAGGCTACTTGTAGACTAGTCGTGGCAAGGTCCTGCGCAATAGCCTGTGTTTGCATCGTGCTCCAGGTGGGTGTGCAGGATGCGATCGTCAAGATTCGGCAGGTTGCTTGGCAGCAGCTTTTCGGTGCAGAGGACTGCGCCAGCAGACAATCCGCTACTACTCAGAAGATTTTCGGAAAGATGGCTCCATGCAGAAGTTAAGGGAGGTCCACATGGCTGTGTGAAAAACTAGCTTTGCATGATTTCCTTCACCACACTCTAGTCCGTGCCTTCGCAGCAAAGGCTGGGATCAAACTCTGGGTGCTGACAGGTGCTGCTTTGCTGGAGTAGCCTCAATTTGAGCTCCACAAGTGGGGTGGTCGAGGTGTCGGAGACGTCGGTCAGATTCAACTGAGCTGTGCCAAGGACAAGCTGGAGACGGCAAAGAATATCGGCTTCAGCACTCGGGTGCTCAGCCATTGCCCAAGTCATGCAGAGCTACGGCTGGCTTTCAGAGCGCAGGGTTTGGTCACCAGCATGCATGAGGTAACGACATGGAGATTTACAGCCTGGATTCGTCCCCAGACCGACCAATAGAGGACGGCCAGAAAGTCTTTGTAAGTGTCTTAGCTTGCCACGAGTCCGGTGCACCGTCAGGACGAGCTGCATCAGGTTCTTCGAAGCGCGAAGCAGGCCAAGCTGACGGCCCAAACCCAAACTGGAGAAAAGATCAGAGTTTTATCTTCGTTGCCGAGGCCGACGCTGCTCGGCGCACGCTGGCCCTCATCGTGACGGGCCACGCGCTGGAGGCGGGCACAACGCACCTTCATTGTCTTCAAGGCGCTCAAGCCTTCTCCACCTGCAGGAGATGCTGCAGCCAATAGGGAGGAGCAGCTCCAGCGGCAGGCAGGTTGCGCAGCTGCGTGGCAGATCAGGAGAAGTTGTTTGACAGGATGCCAGCGAGCAAGCCCAAAGGAATTCTGCAAGACCAGCTCTTGGAGGCTCATGAAGTCTCATACTGGGCAGATGCAGCCTGGCGTGGCGGAAGCTGCTGCATTGCGTCAGGTGGCTATGCTCTGCTCTGTCGTGATCGCCTGTCGCGTACAGGGCCTGAAGGATGGCCTGTCTCTACGCCTGGTGTTTCTTGTCTTGATGACAAGGTGTCACCACTGCAGAAGGCGGAGATCGTGAAGATTGTGAGGTCGCACTCTTATCGGACTCTTAACTCTCAAAACTCTGAATCCGTCCCCTCCAACCTTTCACTCTTTTCTGCTCCCATCATTCCCTCGACGATTTCCTCGCTCAATTTCGGCTCCTACTCTGCTTTGCTGACCGCGAGTTTTTCCGAACCATCTCCCATGCACTGGAAAGCGACGAAGAGGGAGGTTTGGAGAAACGGAGGGCCCGTGATGCTCAGTCCTCGCCGGGAACCCGGAGGGCTTCCCTCGAAATCCAAACTCCTAAGAGCAAACGCCTCATTTCAGTTTGCGTACATGCAAGCCCTTAGGTCTGAACTCCAGTCCTAAACCCTAAACCCTTGAATCCCGGGTGGCCTGCGCAGCATGCTAGAGGGAGCCAACGTGGGAGGAGGCAGACACATCCTCCAACGCTCGCGGGCGAGCAATCCCGGCATTCCCATCCCACCCATCAGTCACCCCTCCACTCTCCGCCTTCGCCCCTTAACACTCATGTGCTCACACCCGCACTCAACTCGCACGGCAGCTACAGGGTTCGTGAGTCTAACCAAACTATAACCGGACCAAGTCGGAGCTGGAAGCCAGTTTCACCAAAGCAGAGACTCAACGTCGTAAAGCTCGGAGATGAGCAGGAGAGGCGTGCATCCAACGCCCGTGACCTTAGCAATAGGCTCGCCTTTGGTGGCTCTCTGCTTCTTTTTCTTGGGCGGCTTATTGCTCTTGTTGCAACCAGGTGACGGCGCGAACGACGTCCCAATGCTTCAGCAAGCGCAGGCGGCTCACCTTTGGCCTTGATCGTACTCGTCTAAGTCTCTTTAGTAGCAGGTTGGAGTGGGCATCTCCGGCAGAGAGGGCAGGCCCTGGACTGATATCTACTGATGCCACAAGTGGCATCGCAATCTGAGCAGCGCCTAGTGAGCAGAGATGCAATGTGTGGAGGCAGGCAGTCAACTCTGCGGATTTTGCCATCGCACAATTTCGGCGTGCTACCCAGACTCCGGCCTACTTGCGATGAAGGGCCTGTAACAAACCCGAGTCCCACATTACAGCTCTTTAAGACTGCTTTGCCGATATGTTTCGGACGAGGTACAGTAACTGCAAGCAGATGCAGCATGCAAGATTGTATGCTATTTTCCGAAGGTATTTGGTCCGACTCTTGCTCGTGCATGGGCGCTGGAATTATCAACGCGCCTGTTCTCCGGCTGAACAACTGGATGTGGCAGTCAGATGTCGTGCTTGTATCAGACTTCGGTTCAGACCGAGGCAAGTTCGTCATCTACAGTTTCTGGAAGAACGCAGTGCTGCCCATCTGCAAGTCTAGATCCGGGTTTCATCCTGCATGGCCTGAGGGAGGGTATCGGCGGGTTCTCGCGGGTTTTTGTTTTGCTTCGTTGCGTGCGCAGAGACGGACGTTTCAGACCCCTTCCCCGTGTGGTTGTGCGCAGCGATGTGTAGTGTGTTCATGTGTTCGGCGGCTTCTGCAACAGAGCCGGCCTTGAAAAGGCCTGCCTGCGAAGGGGGCCTTGGATGGGCAGTGCAGGGCCAACTGCTGCAAAGCGTTGATCTTGCGCCTCGGCTCGGTCGCAGTCGCTGTCGTTCACCTTCATCCCCGCTTGCCCTTCTCCTTGACTCAATAAAGTCATGAAGTTGTAATGCTTGCAAGGCGCATGTACTCCCCTTGAATATAGCAAGTGGATGAGCAGCATCTTCGCATTCGAGGTAAGCTTGCAGGGGCTAGACTTCTGCTTCCTCCGTGCATTCTTTCCACTGGCTCGGGTTTTGTTACTGTGAGTGTCTATCTCTAAAAATGTACCCACCTCTTGGGGAGTTGAATCTGCGCAAGCAAGGTGCCACGCACGGACGATGACCGATCAGGGCTCCTACAGTCTAGGTCCAGTTCACGTCTTTCTGAAGCCGCGTTCGACTTGACACAAGTTGCTGAGTTTCCCGACGCGGCTTTGTAAACACTCGCGCAACGAGACTGTCCCAAGCGGTGCTAAAGCCGTGTCGATCTTGGTTACGGGGTAGTGACTGCTTGACATCATGGATTCTTCGGCCAGGCCTTGGAAGTATTTGTACAGCGAGACCGTCCCGAGTGATTGGTTGTAAGCCCCATTGGCATTTTGAGCTAGTTTTCCCCCACTTGAATGCTGGAACATGGGGGCTGCACAGGCCCCAACCCAAACCAAAACAAAAAGGAGAAGAACAGAATCACAAGGACGTTCCGTTTCGTCAAGCACTCCCACTACCCACTCGGCGAGGCTTCGGTAGGAATATCTTATATTGTAACACGACACTGTAACATACTATGTTATACGTTAGTTGCACTAGATCTTATGTTATACTGTACACTACGCAACATGCTCAAGATCCGTTGGATGCCTTGAGTCGGTGCATCCGAGGCTTGTCCCTCTCTCAGTCGAACGGCGGCAGGATGTGTTTGTGGCGGCTGGTGGACGGTTCGCGCATTGCCTGAACGAGGTACTCCTGATGTTCTACTACACTTTCTTTTCTGGCTATGCAGGCCGGAAGTCGAGCTAATCAAGCGAGCTTGTCCCGATCCGACTTGAAAGCCGTCGTGCGAGCATTCGCTGACGAGGGAAAGTTCGCTGGCCCAAGTTGAAGCAATGCTCTGTCTTGTGGCAGGTCAAAGCCTTTTCGAAGACATGGCTGCTCGGATTCACTTCAGCACATCCGATCAATCTTCGTTAACCTCTCAGCTTACCTTTTGTAGTTGTAAAGGTGCGAGCTTCGTACAACTTCGTACTGGCATTTCCAATCATTACGACTGGCATGTTCGAGCAGGCCGGCTTGGCACCTTGCGAGATTTTATGCCGCCTGCCGCATATCAGCACTCGGCTGGTTTCCGTGAGGACTTGGAGGAAGAGCAGATCTTGGCCAATCCTGGACTGTATGTGAATGGACGCGAAGGCGGCCCAACACACTCCCCTTCGACTCTGCGGAAGTCTGCTAGTCTGCTGGCCAAAGCGGCCAAACCAACTGCGGGTCCAAGGCCATCGTCGAGCCGTTTAGACTCCCGAAGACTTGTGTGGTTAGAAGCTTGACGTCTCGATCGACCTGCCTAGACCTGCTACTGTATCTACGAATCTGGCTTGTTCGATACGGTCCTCGCAAAAGCCAGGCCTTGACCTCAATGCATCCAAACTTGTACCGGGCTCGGTGCATGACGGAGATGGTGCCGACACCGGCCACCCGGGCGTCTTTGGCGGAACCATATCCTTTTCACAAGTCATGTGTGAGGTTGAGATGCTTCTGTCTGCAGCAGTCCATTCCTGCGTGATCGGCACTGTCCGACACCCAAGAACAGCTAGCTTCGAGTGATGTGGCTTTTCCGTCTAATCGTTCAGGTCATGCTCCTGGTTTGCCGCGACATGTATGTCCTGCGAGCTGGCGACTTCTACACCTTCGGCACGATTGTGCCTCGTTTGCCAGTCTGTGCACCTAGGAACCTACGTCCTAGGCTAGGTCTTTTGCTCCTCTTATCTTCTTTCGTGCGAGATTCATTTGGCCTTTGGCCGCCTCGTCTAAAACCCAAGCACGGCCCAGCCACGCAGGTTTTCACCGTTCTTGTGATCGCGATGAACTATCGAGCGGCATTCCTGACAAGGATCTTTTTGCTTAACGATAGACTGGCTTCGATCTTCCCAGTGTTACAACAAACTCCTTCGTTCACCTAAATTGGAGCTGTGGGTCATGAAGCATATTCATAGACGAGCCCCTTGCCTGCCGAAGGACTTGGAACGTGGTGACCGTTGCTGGGCAGCTCTGCTCCTTCTTGACCTACGCGTGTCGCGTCTGCAGAGTTCATGGGTTATGTTGTCTCTACGGCTCGTCTTCATGTGGTTTGTGCTCGCTATGATTTGCCGCGGTGGCTTCCAAGACTCCACGAACCGGGATTTTCATGCATGAACAAACGTCGTGTCGCCGTTTCCGTGGGCTAGGGAGTTCCTGTGCTAGACGGCTCAGGTTGTTCCTTGCCGTCTACTGCTGCAAATCCGTGAGTGACAAGCTGCAGCCAGCTGCCCTGATGTTTTGGTTCTGCTGATGGTGTATTTCTGGGGGCATGGATGCTGGCCACAAGGCCTTGGATGTACGGCGTGCGCAGCTTATTCTCGCAACACCCCTGCTGGATCTCTTGGTCGAGGCCTTTGCATATGTCCCAGGTCCCCGGCCGCATGATGAGCAGCCCTCATTTCTGGTGCATGCCTTAAGCCTTTGCATGCTATTTGCACCTGTCGGGTGAAGAGCACGCAGCCTCTACCGGTGGCCCAGGATCTGCGCATTTACGGTGCCAGCCCTTGCCATGGTCATCGATGTCTTCAAGGTATCTGCGAGTGAGTGTTGAGTGAGGGTACTCGCCAAACACTCTCAAGGCGCAACGAGCACAGAAGCGTGCGAACGTGAAAACGCGGAGGCGTACCTGCTGACTGAGTTCTGCCCAGATCGTTTGCCACTCAGCTCTTCGGGAACGCTTAGCGCACCTGTCTCAGTCTAGACTTGCAGCCCTGTCTCTGCGATGGCTTTCGTCTGTTGTCATGAAGTGCTCGGATCCCTTGAAGTACGGTGCCCCGTTATCTTACAGGATGCATTGTGCTAAGCTACGATTCGGCGCACTCCTTGCGCCTTCTGGTAGTCGTGGCAATTGCAGGCTCGCAGATTATCATGGAGCGATGGAAGGCCAGTCAGTGGCCATCTCGAAAAGGATGAAAAGGGTTCGCTTCTACAGGAAGACAAGTGCTTCTTTGAAGAGGAACGCTCGGATGAGGAGGTAGGCGCAAGGGTTGCTGATGTCTGTGCCGTCCTGGGAGCACAGAGCAGGCAGAGAGCAGATTCTCCCCTTCCTCGGGAGGCAGAAGCTCCGGCAGACTTGCCTGGTCGCTCATCGCCACCGGTCGATTCCCAACGTTCCAGGCCTCGAGTCTTCTCGTATCGACTACAGACGAGGCCCAAAGATAGGATGACGGACAGGTCATCACCAAGGCCCCGGTTCCAAAGATGGCTCGAACCTTGGGACCTTGGGCATCTGCGTTGCTGGATTTGCTTTCCGGAAAGGAGGAGGCTAAAAACCTTCTGCAGGAGAATCGCCCAGCGGACACACGGATTTGTCTCCGGGGTCGTGCGGTGCGTGAGCGCACGTCTGGGCCGAAGCCAGTGTGAGAAGCGAGAGGGCACCGACCCAAGGACCGGAGGGCGCAGCACCCAAAAACCGGTCGGTGGTTCGGGGTGAGCCTGAAAAACCTTACACTGTGTTGGCTTCCCCCAAAGTGCTGTCGCGCTCATCCGTTGCCGGGTGCTGTCTAAATCTCCAACCACCGAAGCACGGCAGAGTGAAGCATGGCCGTGGCAGGGATCTAGTCTACGTAGTCCTGATTTGAAACGCATGCAGATCTCCTTTAGAGGGACACTTAGGAGGGACGGCTTAGACAGCAGCATTGCGCATCGATTCTGCCGGGATCTCGACGAAGGCTGTCTAGTGTCACACATCAAGTTTCGGCGTTTGCCTTCCGTTTTGATCGTCTTGGGATCCCTTGGACTGTCTTATTCTCAACCTTCGGCGGACAGTCAGATGCCACCACGGAGTTTGTGTTTTCGCTCCTGAGTCTCGCCCACCAAGGTCCTCCTACGACTTCGCTCATCCGGGTGGCGAGCCGAGGCCTGGGGATAGTACAATCGAGGCCTAGGCTGCCTAGGGGCCCTGTTAGGCCCCCCTAGGCTTCCTGGCTCTCGCGGGGTGTCCGGACGTTCAGCACAGTCCTCTCGACATGACCGGCTCGAAGGCACCACAGCGCTTTCGTCAATTCGCACCCCACGGCCGGAGATCTGTCCCTGGTTGGCGCGCGGGACCTCGCACGGCTGCTCTTTGTGAGAGTGCTGCGGTTATGACAGAAAGCTGCATCCTGGGCTGAGGCATCGGAGCCGGCAGATGGCTACAGGAGGAACAATGATCAGACACATCAGACACCTCAATGAGCCCGGTGACTTTTGGCTTCGGGAGGACTGCGACTGGTGTCACGGCCACAAGTGCCTCGAGCACCACGGCCCTGCAGCTCCCCTCCCTGCAGGCGGCCGCAAACTCTTGTCCAAGCGACTGCATCTCGCCTTTCATCTTGATACATCCTGTGGTATCGGCTCACTCCGGCAAGGAAAGCGACTCTTCGTCCGAGGAGGCCCGACACACCGGAACAGCCGACGGAGAGTTCACTGTACTCCGCGTACTGTTGTAGGAGTCGCTGGGAGGCAGCTTGGCAGTCGCCTCAACTTGAGCATTGCCGTTGGGTATCTGCGGGTCTGTTCGAACCGCTGAGGCTCACAACCAGAACTCCCCTGATCGCAAGCGCTTCAGTTTGACGTCGAGAGTGCTGTGTGACGTGGGACGGCGTGCCTATGTTTTTGTGACATGTTGCAATCCTGTAAGCCTTCGGCCCTCCGCCCCCGGCCCCTGCCGAAAGCTGCAAAGGGCCGCACGCGCAGTCGCGGCTCTAAGTACTCGCGACTCCTGAGGTTCTCGCTTTGCTCAGCAACAGCTGCCTCGCATTCAAATCGATGTCACCCCGGGCAAGGCACAGATCCAAAGTGGAAGCGAATTGGGTTGCAGCGTGGGGTTCATTTAGTTCGGGAATACCGTTCCACAGCCTGACGAGGTCATGGGGGCAGCGGCTGTCGTGGGCAGTTTGCTGCTGATTTTGGGGTTCACGGTCCTGCGGCTTGGGGAGCACGCGGTTGAGGCGACATGCAGAGCCCATCCATGAGAGCGCACTATGGTGTAGGGGATGGAGTCATCATGCATGCCTTTGGCCACCTTGTCCAGATCCGGATTCGCTATGGCGGTGCGGCGGGCACTGGCTCAGTGCCGTTTCAGATGCCCGCAGATGTCGTAGTCGCCTTGGCTGGCGTGTGTGGGGACCGGTCCACCGACGACAGTTGCAGCTTTTGCCAGCAGCCCAGCACGAAAAGGTGGAGCACATGGCAGACTGCGATGTATCATCTGGCACGTGCAGCTTGCAGCTCTCCTTGAGTCAGGACAGCAAGCTAGCCCATAGCCCATAGTAATCACTCGAGGGGGCAACTGTCGGCTTACGAGGACATGCCTCCGCCAGTTCGTGTGCTCTACCATCTCGATCCGCAGCTTGGCAGACAAGGTTTCATGCCATCCAAGGATGGGTGACGTTGACTTGGATATGCCCCCCGAGTGTAAGCTTTTCAGCTGGCCTTCGAGAGTTGACCGAGTCAACGAGGTTTTACCAGAACTTCCCAACCTACATTGCTTCAGGCCCCCAGAAATCAGCGGACTTGCTCGCACAGATGTGGACCTTGCTGGACCAGGTTCAACCTCCGGTGCATGGGGAGAACTGACAGGCCGGCTTGGGGCATGAAGGCATGAAGCAAGCTGATTTCATGTTCACTTCGATTCGCGAAACATCTCCCAGCCCCCAGCGGCCGGGGCATAAGTAAATGCTTGGTGGAGGCAGATGGTTCGGCCATGCCGAGCGGCAGAAGCCGCAAGCCCAGCTGGAAGCGACTGTTCCAGGGCTGTTTTTTTTCAAAACGCTTGACGACTTTGTAAGGCATTGCCCGGAAGCGTCCACGAGAATGACAGAGACCGGCGACGTAGTTTTCCCCTGCGGCTTGCAGGTAGCCGTACTCGCTTGCGTTCCGCAAACATTAAAGATGCACTGGTGGAGGCCACAAGCCTTTTCAACGATACCTTCGAGCTTGGGACATAAGCAGCAAAGAGCAGTATGGTCCTGCAGGGTGCAACACGCCATTCGTTTGTCGTAAGTCAGTATACCTGCGAGGTTGCGGCGAAACGGAGCCGCCTGCACCACAGCTGCCGAGAGAGCCAGTGCTAGCTTTCACTTCAGATTTAGTGCAGGTCCTGCACATCAGCAAAGACGGTGTCGGCAATCCCGAAGATCGTAGCAGGTGGGCTGCTGACTGCGCTGCCAGTATCTGCACAGTGCAGCCAAACTGGCCAAGGATGGCAAATCCACCGGATTATCCGGACAGGTCCAAGGTTGTCCGAAACTCAGAAGGGTCTCGCTAGCTGCACTGGTTGTTGGAATGGCATCGACCACCCTTTCTGCCCTTTCTGCATGCCACGTCACAAGTCCACGGACCTGGTTGAACGGTGAGTATGTCGTATGAACCGTCGCACCTGGGAGCAAGCACAAAGACACGGGACACTAAACTCCAGTCTCTTTGCTTGGGGCAGCGACATTCAAGCGAGCACCACGAACAAGAGTGAATTCATGCTCGTCCGGCCGTCTGCATGGCGGCACAAGACCCAAACAACCACCAACATACATACCTTGAGCCTTTCATCCCAGAAATTGGCAGGGCACGAGGCACGGGGCACAGGGCATGGGGCAGGGCAGGGCAGCACAGCGCAGGGGCGTAGAGCAGGGCAGGGCGTGGTACAGGGCGCAGCAGGGCACAGGCGGGTCAGGTGATTTGGCGAGAGCGGGTGTTCACGCGTGGTAGCGCCACCGTGGTTTTGACACAGGCACTGTATGACCACGGCCACGGAAGTGAGCTTTCTTCCCTCAGCGGCTCAAAAAGCTTTCTTGAGCACACTTGCCCTTTGGAGGTGCAATCCAACGAGGAAAAGTGACACTGGCTTCAGAATTCTTAGAAACACCTATGCATCATCGCAGACGATGTGCCCGTTTGTTACATCGAATCCCCCACATCTTGGAAGGCAAAGGTGAGGAAAGTGCCCCAAGCCGACGGAAATGTAAACCTTCCGAAACCAGCAGAGCGACCAGCCATGAAGACACGGCCGCCAAAAGCGGCAGCTTCGAGCAACCATGAATGCAATCATCCCCTCAACCCGACCCCCCTCAACTGAATCCCCTCGAAAAGCGCTCCACCGAATAGGGGCGCTCCAATTCCGCCGCCGACGACGACGACGACGATTACTACTACTACTACTACTACTACTACTACTACTAACACTAACTACGACGACGACTATGAACACTACGACGAATACCGATAATAATAATATTAATAATGCGGCGGCGACGACTGCTGCTGCTACTACCACTCCTACCGCCGCTACTGCCACTTCCACTTCTACTTCCACTTCCTACTGCTACTGCTACTGCTACTGCTGCTGCTGCTGCTGCTACTACTACTACGACTACTACTCC